GAAAGAGAAGTACTGACCGAAAGATAATGCTAATTAGAGACTGATTTTTTTCACCAGAAATAAGAGGATTCTGGGAGTCCTGACAGCTTTTTTTTTGAGGTTCAGTACAGCAGTGTCTTAGCTGATGCAAGGAGTGTTGACGTTAGCACGATAAACTGCAGTGCTAAGTGTCTGAATCCTCGACTGCCTGAGTTCGAATCCTGGTTCCTTCCCTTATTATCCATGGGACTGTAGTAAAGTTACTTAGTTTCTTTTTATCTCAGTTTTCTCACTTAAAAAGAGAATAGTATAACACCTTCCCCATAAATTTGCTGTGAAGATGAAATGAATGCATACCTGTAAAATGCTCAGAACAGTGCCTGGCACATAGTGTGTGCTTTTTGTATTAGCTTTATTATTACTGTAGTAAATACCACATGTTGTTTTGTTTTTATTCTCACTCAAAAAAGTGGACATTATACTTGCCTGCATGCTAAGTTTAGTTAAAGGAAAAGTTAAAGTGAAACAATGTAATTTTTTTTAAAAAGGCACAAAAAATGCCTTTTTCCCTCATCCCAGTATAGTTTCCAAGGTGGGATACAGGAATTTTGATGCACAAAATTGTACCACGTGGTTTTGATTCTGGAAATTACCACTTTAGGAATGTCAGATTGCTGACTAAATGTAAATCAGAAATTAAGCTGCTATATGTTGCATATATGCACTGACTGTTGAAAACTTTATCTGGACTCTAACTTCTGAATACATATCTTCTCTTATTAAATAAAGCAAGGCAACTTTGCCTTATCTCAGCCACCAAACTGCTTTTTCAGGATGTCGTTTTTTAGTACAAGATAAAGGGTCAATGGTCTGTTATGTAAGTTCTTCCTTTTGGTATATTATTATCTTATATTTTGACTGCTAATTTTTGACTTATTACTTGCCATTAAATTCCAGACATAAGAGGAAAATGTGTCATTTGGCATTTTATTTGGATTACAGAATTTAAAAATTTAGACATTAGGAAATTTTAAAATATGTAAATGTAGGGGTACTTTATGCACTTGCGTTATAGCACATTCCCCCAAAAACAATAACGAAACTGAGATAGGTACTCCTCAGTCTTAGCTGTAGTACTTTGTAAACACTTGATATGTCATTAACAGTGAATTGGAAGGTGATTTTTAAAAGTTGTTTTAATTCCAGCATTAAAATATGAAAGTTTTGGAATCCTTTGGTTTGATTTACTCTAGTTTTCTTTATTAGAGCTATTAAAAGTTTAAGAATACTTTATTAGAGCTACTAAAAGGTTAAGAATATTTGTTGAACTCTTACCTTGTGAGGCATCGAAATAGGTGCTTTTACGTAAGTATTTTATTTAGCTTTCTAGGTTTAATTATAAATTAGATGTCCTTATATAGAACAGGAACAACACTTATCTGGAAAAAAGATGTCTTGTGTTGTTTACTAACACTGTTATTGTTGATAGCTACCAGTGCCATCAACAGCTCAGTCTATACTTTTGGGAAACAGCTGTTAGAACTTTTTGCCAGAAAAAAGTTAAAATTCATGACTAACCAACAAAGGGTTTTAAGAAAGTTGATTTTTTATTTATTTCTGTTACGTCAGCCTAGCCAAATTATTTTTTGTCCATTTTACTTAACCTTCTGAGTTAATGTTTCATATGGTTTTACATTATTAATTCATTCAATAGATATTTATTTGTTCAGTGCTTGCTGTTATTTGCCACTTACTACAGTAGCAGCTAGAAATACACCCATGAGCTGGGCATTTAGCAAATAACTGCCAGTGAGATAGTGTTAGTAAAGTGAAAGTGTTTATTAGACTATGACTATTATTTATAGAACATTTGAATCACAGTTTCTAAAAGAAAAATACTAGAGTTAATACTTTCTAAAGTGGAAGTAACGATGAACATATTTATTCTATATTGCAGGGAGTTTTGAACCATAGATATATATTAGGGTTATAATTTTATACAGGATACTCGACAAGAGAGATTTGACTACATTAAGATATATATATCAACTACGCTTCGGTTTACCATAATACATCATGACAGTTTTTCTTAACCTTAATTTAGCTAAGTAATATTTCCACAACGATTGATGAAGATTAGAAATAACTGAATTACCTGATATATGAGTACATAAAATAAATAAAAATATCACAGGCGGGTGCTGAATTGCAATTCTGACTACTGGTTGCTGCAGTACTGCTGAGTTCCTCTGAGTATCTGAGTGGGGTTGTGACATTTCAAGCTGTTTCATTTCTGACTGAAGTACTGACACTTCTTGACTTCATCGAAAGCCCTGTGCCTACGTTTCTTAGTATCATTACCACCTGTAAATATTAGGATCGTCATCATTCTCTCAGCAAAGCTCAGAGACTTGGAAACTGAAAAAAATAAAATATCCCCACCACTAACAGAAATAATTATTGCATGATGTTCCAGCTGCTAACATATTTAGCCTCGAAAGTAAGTTTGAGTCATAATGATCTTTTACTGGAGATAGGCCTAAGCATTCCTCAGAGTAGTCTTTCCTAGAAAATGAGCAGACTAGCATTTCCACAAAGCAAGGAAAGACATGACATCCCCAACCCCTTCAAAAGTTGGGAAAGGTGATTCTGGGGTTGAACAAGTTAGGGGATTTTTACCATGATCCAACTATTGGTAGCTAACAATTCAGAGACAAATCTTAACAGTCACAGGCAATTAGAAGCTATCTTTATCAGCCTATTCTAGTAAGAACTATAAGGAAAGCTCTTTACGAGCCTTTTATGTAATATTTACATTGTTTGGAACACACTATTAATTTGAGTTTTTTAGCAAAGCATGAGTTTATTGCTTAAGCAACCTTTACTTCTCTGTACACATACTTCTGCTCCTCAGAGTAGAACTTAAAGTGGTGGGCTTCAATGGAATGAGTAGAAACAGGTGAGCTTCTCGTGACTGGGCTGTGGCCTCTATTGCATTTTTCCTAGGATGTGGTGGCCTGGGTGACCAGCATGCCTAGCGACGCATTGCTCCATGTTGCCTGTGGCTTGTGCTTGCCCGTGGTGGTACTTGTGAATGGCTTGTGTTACCATATCATTGTGAAAACCATGTTATGGAGTTCTCTTTACACGTTATATATTTATTTGCTTTTTGCAGTGATGGAGAGGGGAGGAAAAGGACCTCTTCTACCTGCAGCAACGAATCCCTAAACATCGGAGGAACCCCTGTCACCCCTCGCCGAATCTCCTGGCGACAGCGCATCTTTCTCAGGGTTGCTTCTCCCATGAACAAATCTCCCTCGGCAATGCAGCAACAGGGTCTGTATGGTATTCACCGAAAATTACTCCTTCCTAGAATCATACATTAGGGCATGGAATGCAGTGGTTTGTGTACAAAAAGATTTAAGTATTACAATGGAGAAATAACTTCTCTTTCTATATCTGATACAGTAGTTAACTTCTCAGATATCATTAGAACATATTAGACATTCAGTATCTGCTTGTTTAATGAATGAATGAATGAATGAGTGAATTTCTAAAACCAGGAACTAAGTTAGTACTAGAGAATTCATAGATCTTTTCATTATTAGAAAAGTAACATACTTTTTCAAGAGTCACACATAAAACAAAGTGACATAAAAATGTTGAACAATAAGGAAATGGATACAGATACACTAGGCAAATATTAAGCAAGAGAGAGCATGGTTATTTTCTTTGAATATTAGTCTTATTAGAAATTGAAGCAAAAACGTCCATAGGGCAAAGTTAATGTAACAATAAACAAAAATATGTAACAATAATGAGAACACATAATTATACAGCCTTGAGAACTAGATAACAACAGGATTTTTGGCAGAAATAAATCAATAGCTCTCGTGGGAGATTTTACTATATTCCTCCCTGAAAATTAAATACAGAGAAATTACATACAGGTAATATGTGAGAAATACAATGAAACAAGGTTGATCCAATATTTATACAGAAACCTATAGAGAAAATGCATTCATTTTTAGCACACGTGGAAGTCATAAAAATTAATTATGTATTTGGCTACAAAAAAATTTTAAATATCAATCATGATCATTTGTACTGTATTCTTTAATCACAGTGCAAAAAAAAATTAGAGGACAAGTAAAATATTTTAAGTGTTTGGAAACTGAAATCTCTGCTAAAAACTAGAAGGAAGAAAATGCGATCAGAGCCCTACATATCAAAATGAGTGGTATTTGGAGGGCATTTCTAAAATCAAGTAAGCCAGAACTTAATGTGCTAACTATTCAACTTAAGAGGCTAGAAAAAAAGCCATAGAGTAATAAAAAATATTATTTATTAAATAAGGGTAAGAGTTGAGTTCAATTAATAAATTAAAAAAAAAAACAACAACTGATATTGCTAAAGATAAAATTAACTCTGCCTGGGTTGGTTAGAGAGAGCTTCTCAGAAAAGTTAGATATTTATTTAAACTCACTGCTCTTTCAGAAAGAGGAACTAGTCAAGCTCTAGAGTCACTGGAGAGAATTTTGTAGGTCAGAGAATCATGAGAAATTAAACGTGATGAGAGCAGAGGATGGGAGATTGAGGCAAGAGACAGGAAAATTACATGAGACCGGTCTGAAGGGATCTATAGGCTATTCCCAGTATTTGGACTTCATTCTTTGAGATATAAACAACCATTGAAATGTTTTAAGAGACATGATCATGTTTGTTAATAGGAAAATAATTGGCAACAGGGCAAAAGATGGCCTGGAACGGGGGGCGGGGGGGAGAAAATGAGCTACAGGAATTGGGTAAGAGTGTTGCAGGAGGAGTGAGCAGAGGTGCTGAGCCAAGACGAACTCAGAGTTGCTCAGCTGCTTTTCCCTTGACAGATTCTGACATTAGATGCAGATCTTAGGAGATTCCAAATACCTACGCATGTAATCTTTTTGTTTCACACAATCAGAGAATACACATGGGTGAATTGAAGAAGTTTTAGATGCTGGGGAAAGGCCAGGTCATTTTGGAGCACCTCACTTATAGGTCATTTCGTATTGGAAAGAAGAAGTGGTGAAATTGCATATGCTTTCATTTCACTGCGAGGGGGGAAATCTGGAAGGGGAATTCAGTCTAGTGAGTTTACTTAAACTGTTAGTTCCAGAAACTTAGTTACTGGGAAATTGGCTTTGTGAAAAGCTTTAAAGGTGGACTATAGGATGAGAGTGCATTGATTCTAGAGACAACTTCTGTAGTCTGGGTTACTGCTGTGGAATGCCTCTCACTGTTTTCTTCTCCTCAGATGGACTGGACAGGAATGAGCTGCTGCCACTGTCACCTCTTACTCCAACCATGGAGGAAGAACCGCTGGTTATATTCATGTCTGGTGGTGATGACCCAGAAAAAGTTCGAGAAAGAAAAAAATCTGAAGAACTGAGGGCCTTGTGGAGAAAAGCTATACATCAGCAAATTTTGTTGCTTCGAATGGAAAAAGAAAACCAGAAACTTGAAGGTTAGCTATTCGAACAGGGCTAAATGATACGATACTGTTATTTAATGGTATAAGTTAAGACTATCCCTCTGCCCCCCCAAACTCGCACTCATCCTTGGACTATATATGCACTTTTATATGCGCTATATATGCACTAGGCTATCTACCAATTGTAATTATTTCTATTTCGTGAGGTAGTTAAGACACGGGAAAGTCCAGCTTAAGATCTTTGCATTTTGGTTTAATAGATTTAAAATGTCAGATACCTCTAGTGTATTTGGGTAATATAGAATGTAGATAATAAGCCATGTGTATTTGATCATCGATGTATTTATATGACTGAATTGTTATTGTTCATTACTTTTAAAACTCTTAAATATGAAAAAGTAAATTCTCTTGTTTTTGAATATTATTTTTAACTTTCAGGCTAATTGTATTCGTCATAGCAGAAATATGACTATTTCAAATAAATTGTATCCAATTCAACTATCTAATCACATGGTATCAAATTAGAATTCCTATGTTTTGTTACTGCTTTATAAATTTTTTACTTAAAAAGTCATATTCAAATCATTAAATTTATAATTAGATCATTTATAATAGCTCTTTTGCTATTTGTGGTGCTTTATTGCTAAGTTTATGAATGCCAAATGTTTTGGAGTATGTTTTCTAGACTTTAGAATATTGATGCTATTTGCCCCAGTACTTATAGAATCACACACAAGGAGATACACAAATAGAACCAAAATTTATTAATGATATTATCTTGGGCAAATCACTTAACATAGAAGGGCCTTGATTTTTACATTTATAAAATAAAAGATTTAGCTTAAGTGGGCCCTTTAACTTTTAAAATTCTTAGAAAATGTATAATCTAGATTTTTCTCTGATTTGCTTTTATTGTGTTTTCTTCCAAAAAGCTTTTTTAATACAGGTATTCACATTTCTGTGTTCATCATCTATCTTAAGATTCCTCTTACTATACCTATTATTCGATTGTTTTTAATTTTAATGATATATATTTAGTTTACAAGGGCACAATTTATTTTCTTTATTGTTATCTTCTTAGAATGAAAAGTATTAAGATTTTAAATATTCTTAGAAAATAAATCTTTTCTTTAGAATAAAAATGCTATTCATTGCTATTGACATAGCTTTCAAAAGTTCAGTATAATAAGTGGTATGCCCACCCGAACTTCCATAGATTTTTCTAAACGAATTGAATCTATATTGTTGAGCAGTTGGTTATATCTTGAACTAAATCATAAACAGCAAAAGAGGCTGAAAAGAGGGTAACTGTCATCCCTTTAAAGCATTTAAAGTATGAAATTATATTTTATTAACATTTGAGAGTATATACAAATAGAATCTTATATTAAAATTTGAAGGATAGTTTTAGAATCATAGACTATTTGAACTGAAAATGGCCTTAGAGATTATTAAGCACCATTCTTCATTCTGCACCTGTTAGTGACTGGTCGGGGGAGGATAAGGAATTAATGTAAGGTGAAACAGTGACATACTGGCAGAATGAGTACTAAGATTCAGGTTTACTTATCATGGTTCTTGGGCTTTTCCTAGTACACCACAGCATTTCTCAACTATGGGTGTTAATATGAGGAAATGGAACGTTTTAAATACAAATGACTCTGTGTATTCAGAGGTCAATTATACTGTATAAATTGACAGGATAAGAAAGGAGGTGACATTTGGAATATGTGTTCAGAAACCTTTATCAGTTCTATATCTATTTTGTACTTAGGTAACAAAGATAAAAAATAGTTTAGCCCATTAAAATTCTAGCCAATGGATAATCATTTCTTGATGGTCATTTATTCTTGCCTAGTCAACCAGTTGAAGGCTGATATTAAGAGTTCTTACTCAGCAGTTTATCCTCAGGGCCTGCAGCTGGCACATAGTGGTGCTTATTATTTTATTTACTTTTTAAAAATTAATTAATTTTTTTATGGTGACATTGGTTAATGAAATCCAATGTTTCAGCTGTACAGTTTAACAGTAAGGTGCAAATATATATATATATATATATTTACACTGTGCATTCACCTCCCATAGTTAGATTTCTTTCTGTCACCACATATTTGACCCCGCCTTTACCCCGTCTACCTCTCCCTCCCCCATCCCCTATCCTCTGGTAACGACTAGTGTATTGTCCATGTCCATGAGTCTCTGTTTGTTTGTCCTGTTCGTTTGTTGCTTTCAGGTTTATATCCCACACATAAGTGATATCATGTGATTTTCAGCTTTTTCTGTCTGAGTTATTTTGCTTAGCATGATTATCTCGAGATCCAGCCATGTTGTCGCACATGGCAGTATTTCATCTCTTCTTATGGCTGAGTAATATTCCATTGTATATATGTGCCGCAGCTTCTTTATCCAATCATCTATCGTAGGACACTTCAGTTGAATAAATAATCGTCTAGAGAAGGTTTGAGAAGAGGAAAATCTGAGGAAATATTATGCTTTGTTCATTGTGAAAAAAATCATTAGTAAAGTTATATATAGGATTATATTTATTATTAGCTTTGAATCTACTCCTTTAAAAATTATTTGATTATCATGGAGAAATATACAGCAAATACTGAGACGCAAAGCTAAACTGTGTTAGAAAGCCATCTAGTGGTAACCAGGAAAAATATTTTTCCAGTGCGATTTATTTTTTGATTATGTCTGAAATTTTTACTGCCCTGCTTGACTAGCAGTCTTATAAGATATTTAAATTCTTTTGAAAAGTTTTCAGACACACTAAGTAAGGAGTAATACTTGTTCTGCTATTGTTTTTGTGCTGTCGAGGACTTTGGATGCATGACAAAGATTTGTGTTACAGAAGGTAAGATGGGTGAACACTGTGGGCTCTAATGAATACAGATTACTCTGAGAAACTCCTGTTCAATGGAATACGAATGAAAGAAAAAAAATGTGCTTACATGATTTTCCTTCCTTTTCTCTTTTGAAATCGATTATTCAAGAGAAAGACCAAGTCAAGATAGTGGTTGCTTTTATAGGACTTTCTTTTAATGAGCTCTGGGTTTATAGTTTAGACCATCGAATGAGGCAGAATTCCGTATTATTTAAAAAAAATGGAAGTAATGTTAACTTCAGTAGCATGAATTTGTCTCTTTAAGATTATTAAAAATGAACACAGAAGCACATAACTCAGTACTGTTAAGGGCAGTGTTCATAACTCTGGATATAAAAATATATATCAGGTTTTCATGGTCAAATATTTTTGTAATCAAGGTTAGCATGAGGCATTGGTTTCTCAGATATGTCAAATATAAAATATTAACATTTTAATGGTGTTTAAAATGATTCAAGGTGTCACTTCTGAAGCTATCACATTTGTCAGAAAATTGAAATTTATAGCATAGCAAACATGCTTTGTTTTTTATGCGTAGCAGTGTTACCATCTCTAAGATACAGAGTAAAACTTCCTTAGGAAGTTATTTCTGATGTTTTCTTACATGAATAACTCAAAGTTGGAGAACCTTTCATGTATTCTCAATTTTAAAGAGTTTTCTTTTTGAGAAAATGTTAGCTGTTGATTCCTGAAAGTCACTTGGTATAGCTTTACAAATACAGTAAAATGTTAAAAATATCATGTTCTAAATAACCCATCGGTCTAACATGAATGCTCTTGCTTTTCTCAGCAAGCAGAGATGAACTCCAGTCCAGAAAAGTTAAGTTGGACTATGAAGAAGTTGGTGTATGTCAGAAGGAAGTTTTGATAACCTGGGATAAGAAGTTGTTAAACTACAGAGCTAAAATCAGATGTGATATGGAAGATATTCATACTTCTCTTAAAGAAGGTATTGTGGATCATCTTGATCTTTTTTACTTAGAAAAGCTTCAGAAGTTTTTTGATTCATGAAGCTCAGGCGTACTTCTATCTTTGTGCTTTGCTTATAAAAAAAAAAAAAAAAAGAGGAAAGTAATTTGTTTCTGCCAGCAGTCAGTGACTCAGTTGGTAAGAAATGGTGCAATAGAGGGACTGTCCCTGAGGAGATAGCAGACACCTTTTCTGTAGCTGTTCCTGCCTCCTCCAGCTACTCACAGCTCTGTGTTGTTTACCAAGAAAGGAGCTTATGCATTAGTACAGATCTTTGATCATAAAAACGATTAGACTTCAAAAAAGAAAAATAAACATCAAATTTGACTCATTTCTATCATTTGGTCAAAAATATTTATATACATACAGGCATATGTATATTCACCAACATGCATGTGTTTATTTATATAGAATTATATTCTTATTAGTTTCCCTTCCATCTATTTATTGTTTCAATTATTTCAGAAAAATTACTTTTATTTAGCCATTATATTACATTGCTGCACTGCCATATACAGTGACTAAACATCTAAAGTTTAAAATTAAAACTAACATGAATTCTTTGGGTTTATTTCTGTGACCCAGAATAAATATATTAAAATGAGAATCTTTATGGCCTGCATAAACTGGGTGTAAAATAAAAATCCAAAAATATCCAAAGAAACCTGATAATGAATTTTGTTTTAAAACCTTATGATGAGTAAAACTGTTGCAGAGGCAAGTTTAAATTAATATTAATTTTGTAAGATGCAACATTTACAAGCCTAATATACTGGTGTTTTCCCTTAAAGATATGGAAATCCTAAAGATTTTCAATGCATGCATTATTCGGGAAACAAAATAGTGGTTAAGAAAATGAGTGCGAGGTGTAGATTACACCATTCTTTGGTATGGCTTTTAACGATGTTTTAAGGGTGCTCGTCTTTCCATTTCTTAGAGGGTACACTTTAAACTTCCGAGCTCTATACCCAAGGCCCTCCACAGTCCCTCCTCCTTCATCTCTCTGACCTCACCTTCTGCCTCTCTCTGCCTCGTATCAGGTGCTCTGGAGAGACCGAACTACTGAGTCCCTACGTGTCCCAGGTCATTTCTCATGCGGAATGCTGCAGTCCTTACTACACTCCTTTTCCTTAACTTTCTACCTGCTCCCCGTTTCCATCGGTTTTTGTTTTCATCCCCTTTTTCTTCCTCCTCCTTTCTCTCCCCTTTACTCTGCCCCTGTCTGAGTGTTCACACATTCCTCCTCCTGCAGTGACCGTAGCCCACACTCCCAGCCTAGAAAATCCTATTATCCTTCAGCTCTCAGTTCAAATAACGATTTCCTCAGAAATAGTATGCTCTTCCTGACCCCCGACCAAAAGGAATTAATTTTGCTTTATGATTCTTTCTCATGATTCTTTCTCTTTAATTGTGCTTATAATTTTTAATCTTATATTTATGTATATATTTGTTTAATGTTTTACTCACCGCCACTACTACACTTAGCATCTAAGACAGCATCTTGCACAAGTTATTTAACAAATGAATAAATGGGTGGATGAATGAATGAATGAATGAAGAGGATGATTACTTCTATGCCTTAACCTGAATGAATGATTATCACTCTGGGAACTTCTGGCAAATATTTGAAGAGACACTTCACATCACATCAAGTGTGTGCTTATCCGAAAGATTCAGCAGAAGAATGGCATTCAGGCTTATCCATAAAAGACAAATAGAAATACACTTGGCATTCAGGTGGGGGATCTTAGAATTCCAAAAGGCAACGGTAAGAAAATGGAGGTGTGAAAATAATCATTCTTATACTTAATGTATAGTGGGGAATGGGAGCTAATTGGACTGAAAAAAAGTAGTTTGGAGATACATAGTGGAAGGTCTTATAAATCACATCAGGTCAGCCTGAGTGGAACCTTTTGGAAGATAATACTTTTAGCTCACGCAAACTATGGCTTCATGGTCCGAAAAGATTAAACCTTCCTTTTTGACCAGCTGGAGCTCAGGAACTTCTTCCAGATCCAATCTGTCTGAACTGAAAAAGTTTAGTGAAATAAAATTACCTGCTCTGTACAGAATTGAATTCTTTTCTTCCCAGTGCTTACTTCAAATCTTTCGGTATTAAAAACATAGTTTTAGCATGTTTTGAATTGCTTGTGACACTCTTTGGTTTTCAAGCATAATGGAATTGATCTTTCATTATATATGCTAGTTATTTTCTTCTGAAAGACTGAAGGATGTTCTGGAGCATTCCAGTTATGCCTTCATGTTGTATTTTATCATTTTTATTATTCTATTCTTTATGACCATATAAAATGCAATTTAATTCTCTCTTACAAAGTTATTTGTTGATGACAAATATTTAGAAGTTACAGTATGAAGATTGGCATTTGTAACTAGCTTCAAACAAAATAAAAGGTGAAAATAGGCAGTAATATGTTCCAGAATTTGAGAATTTGGCCTCTGAAGCCAGACTTCTGGAGTTCTAATTCTAAACTGCCACTTTCCAGCTGTGTGAACTTGAGCAAGTTACTTAGTATTTTTTTTTTTTTTGCCTCAGCTTCACCATCTGTAAAGTGGAGATGATAGTAATTACCTCTTTGATCAGGTGGTGCTGAGCACTTGTACCATGCTCCATAGCGAGGCACCTCGACAAATGTTGTGTTAGGCACTCACTCATCTTGGCTGATGTTGTTGTTAATATTGCCGTTATCATCATTGTTATTGGATGGTTTTCTTTTGCAAGACTGCAGCAGCTACAGGATGAAACTTGTCAGAATGTGCTTCTGTCAGTACACTGTACTGCACGATCATATCGTGGCCTGTGGGACGGTACAGCTGCCTATTTTCAAGCACTGCATAGTTCATCAGCTTCATTCCAGAGTTCAAGACCTTGCTTTTAATCTTTGGTTATAGGTGTTCCCAAAAGTCGGAGAGGAGAAATTTGGCAGTTCCTAGCTTTACAGTATCGCCTGAGGCATAGATTGCCTAATAAACAACAACCTCCTGCGACGTCCTATAAAGAACTTTTAAAGCAGCTTACTGCCCAGCAGCATGCTATTCTTGTGGATTTAGGTATGTTTGTCACATCAGTTATAACATACAAAAATAAACAATGGACTCTTTTTCTTGAGTATTTTTCTTTTTTTATTTTTTTGGTTTTGGTGTCGATAAAGGGGAACCGTTAGCCTATGCAGAGTTGCTGACTTTGTCCTTTTTTAAGGGGAAGTTGGCTTTATGTCTATCTGATTGAAGACACCATAAATGCCTGAGTAAAAATGAAGTTTTCATCCCCAAACTTGCCATTTGAAAAGGGAGTTATCTTATACCTTATATCATTATGAAGGTATTATTATTAGGTACACTGAGTTCCTATGTTTTGAATAACTGACTTGTTTGTGGTGGACACTTATCTCAATCAACGCTGGTTTTGAAATAAGTTAGAATAGGATAAAAGGGATGCTAAAAAAATGTAACTGAAGTCTACTAAGTATTGCAGGACATATTGCTGGAAATGAGCCTTCGAATATGACTTTAAAAAGCAACACAATAAGTGATTATGTTATGGACGTCCTGACTACATCTCTATAGGAAAAGAAAAATGAGCAGTCCCAATGTGAATGGGTGATTGATTAGTGACCTGAGGGAGAATTTCCAGAGATGGCATTATAAAGCTATCTCTGTAAATGCTGAATTTCAAATAACTTAAGAAAGTAAAAATAGTATGACTTAAATAGTATGTTGTCTCTAGTTTTTCTTTAAATTAACATAATACATATTTTATTATTTTAAAATATCTAAATTATTGGATTAAATATTATATATTGACATTTGACTATTTCATCTATATCCCTAAAAATTGATATCTTTAAAGTGGACAGATATGTTACTTGAGTCCATTTGTGAAAATAAGAGCTTACCTTATATTTAGAGTCATTTTTGTATTTTATGTTAGGGCATGTGAAAATCACTGGCCAAAACATAGTTTTGATCTCTGTTCTTTTTAGATGACACACAGCTTTTGTTGGGAAAAAGCTCAACTCAGTTAATATTTTTGTGTCCAATAGAATTAAAGAAGAGAATTTTACAGAAAAAAACCCTAAAACTTCAGTTCTTGTCCTAATTTTACCACTGAACTGTGGTTTTAGGCAAATTTCTTTGCTTCTGAGTTTCTCAGTCCTCTCTCTTTAATGAGGACATTGAAATAGGCAATTCCTATGTAGCCCCACAGATCTGTGACTGGAAATTGATGATGAGACTAGAAATTGGGATGGTACATTTGGGCTAGTAAAGATGTCCTAATAAAGAACAAGCAATGATGAGATCTGATTACAGGGACTTATTTATATAACTTATTTATAGTTTTCTTTAGCAACAATTTTAACTGAGAAAGTAAAATTATCATTTTAAAAATTGCTTATTTGACTCTACTTGTCGCCATCTGTGTTTCCTCAGTGAGTTCTTGTTATTTTCTCGTGTCTTCCCCTTACTTGCTCTGCAGAATTAATTTTATCAGTTCCTGGTTGGGGGGTGGGGGCGAAAATCACTTTTAAGCATATGTGGTAGAAAACATTTAAAAGACTGGCATTCTTACAAGCTTAACTGACACGAGTAGTCATTTCACAGGGAAGCTAACATCCCCCTTCATTTGCACGGCACAAGGAAAGTCCCTTGCCAGTATACACAGCTTTAGTGGTGGAGATGGGTTTGTTTCATGGTTTAGTACAGTGATTCAGGACTGATCGTGTTTGCTTGCTGAAGTGTATCTACGGTAATATGATACACAGAGGTGAATTTTAAGGGGAATTTCATTGAAGTTAGCTTGACCTTTAGTTTCCTTGTCCTTTTTGGATATACTGAAAAAAGAAGAGGTCTAGATGTCTCGTGGAGGTGGTTTAAGAAACAGAGAGCAAAGAATATTTGGAAAAGAAGTATTTCCTGAGTGATAGACTGAATATAAAATAAAACAACCCAAAAGTCCCTCCAGTGTCATGTTACAAAGAAGCAGGACTAAATTTGCATAAAGACTACTAAGGTTCTTTCTAAGTAATATCATACCTCATAGAATTCTGACTTCTGTTGTAGGGTGGTCTTTATGTGAACTTAGAATCTGCCTCGATTTGTAAATTTTTAAAATAATTCTCCTGGGAGTTTTTTTTTTTTTTATGAATAGGCCTTTGATTTGTTCATAGACCTTTTTTTTTCCCCAGAAAGAACTACTTTTTAGCATAAAATGTTTGCTTTCCTATCATATATGTGGAGATAGGGTGCTGTTCTGCTGTCATGTAGGACTTAGACTTGCTCATGAGAGAGTCTTAGTTACGTGGGTACTCCGAGCGGTTCTCACTAGTTTGGAAAAGAGTATTTGTTTATTCCAGGAAAGCACTGAATTGCACTGTCACAACGGTCTGCAATGCATCACGACGTCTCAGAAATACTTCTTTTCTTTTCCTCTGCAGGAAGGACATTTCCTACTCACCCGTATTTTTCAGCACAGCTTGGGGCAGGCCAGCTGTCACTCTTTAACCTCTTGAAAGCCTACTCATTGCTGGACAAAGAAGTGGGTTACTGTCAGGGGATCAGCTTTGTGGCTGGAGTCCTGCTTCTGCACATGAGCGAAGAGCAAGCCTTTGAAATGCTGAAATTCCTCATGTACGACCTGGGCTTCCGCAAGCAGTACCGACCCGACATGATGTCGCTGCAGGTGAGGCCGTAGACCTCCGCGAGGGCTGTGTGAAGTGTGAAGCTGTTCCCAGATGTCTTAGCTGCAGTCCTCTTCTTAATTTATTTTTTTAATTAAAATTATTGGGGTGATATTGATTGATAAAATCAAATAGGTTTCAAGTGTAGAGTTCAAAAATCCGTCATATGTATATTGCATTGCGATAGGAACCCTCTTCTAAATTACAGCAGATTTGAGGAAATTTGAACCCAGTTGTCTTGGAACTCGCATAAATGTAGAGCCATGTTTCAGTCCATAGTTTTAGGGAGGGATTTGCGATTTTGCTAAACCTCTAAGAAATGCTTACACATTTCTCCTCTTTAGTTTGCTTTCCTTAGCATCTAGGTTTCTAACAAGAAGTTCAAATTTTATTCTCTTCCTTTGAATTGAGGTAGGCATGATACCCAATTAGTCATAATATTATGTTTTAGATAAGAAGTAACATATTTAAAAATATTTTTAAAATATATTTTCCTTGGTTCCCAGTGTTCAGTTTTGTCATTTAATATTTCAGTTACCAATCCACAAGCAAAAAAGGATTGTGTTTTCTCTTGATGAATTTTATAGTAAATGGTATTTTCTTGAGAGGATGAGTGGAGAGAGAATGCTCCGTTTTTCTTTACTCTTCAAGATAAAATTTGGCTAGGTAGATAGATATGGCTTTGCTCTCAATGTTGGATTTTTGGGTGTGAGTTCAGATGAAGGGTGTTCCCCAGGATTCGTAAATCAAATACGGTGATGTGATTCCTAATTGATGACTATTCATAGGTCTGTAAACATTCCACAAGTGAAATAATAATGACTATGAAAAGTTTTAATTTTCACTTTTTTCTAGACAGTTTACCTGTACCTGGTAAATCAGATATGAAGCATTGGTGCCCTTGTAAGGAATTAAATAGCTCAGATTTCCAGAAATACCAATTTGGTAGCTATCATTAGAATTTCAGAGAATGGAGAGTTCCTGTGAGTAGTTGATTTTGATCCATAAATAGAAAGATAGGTACAGCTATCACTTTAAAAATGCAATGATTTTTCAATTTAAAAATCTCATCAATATTTGATATTATAAAAATTCATATAAATTTGATTTAAACATTAATATAATGAGTTGCAATTACCAAGAAATATTATATCTTACGAAAATGAAGGTGTTTTAAAATATTTGATTGTAATGGGCCACAAGATGGGGGACCTTATTCTAGGAGAGTAGATCTTTTTACTCTATAAAGTGTGATACAATACTTTTCCACTTTCTAGAGCAAAAACTGGTTTTTATCCAGTCAATATGACTTTCAAATGTGGAAGCATCAGGGGCCTGAGATCCCTTGATGTCTGGTTACCTGCACGTCTGAGCTTGGGGATTGCAAGCTCTCTGTCTTAGTTACCTTATCTGTGAAAGGAGGAGGTTGAGGTCTCTTCTAACTATGTCTCATCGTGTTTTGTGTCTGCTGTTTTCTGGTTAAGTATAAAAGCATCATATCTTTTTATATGAAGTCTTCGGTCTCTACTTTTTTCCACCTTCTCTCTCCTACCCTTCTCATCTGTCTCTGCATCTTCCCTCTGCTAGTTCTAGCTCTTCATCTGAAGATTTGCCATGTTATCTATAAGATAGAATGGAAGAATTATTTATTCTTAAAAAATAGCATTTTATTATTAAAGTTTCTTTTGAAGAAAGACTGAATCGTGTTTTTATTTGCCCTTTTCAAAAGAAATTTAATGGAAGAAATGTTCTCCACTCCTAGTTTAGAATGTAAAGGAAACAAGTAAGGTCCTTTTAAAAAAATCAACCAGTGAGGTATTGCTTCTGTGTTACAATCATAACCTAACAAAAACAGAATGTTTTTGATGCTATGCTTTTTTTTATCCTGCCAATTAGACTTCTCTGATTTTCATGCTACCAAAATACTAATTCTTCTATTGACATAGCTCAGTATGTCTAGTCTCTAAATTGTAAATGGCCTAAAGGAAATATATGATGTTTTTCAATATGACTTATTAAGATAATAATCTCATTTTTTAAACTCTTATGTTTGACTGTGGGTAAGCTTCTTATTTTATAGCTATGACTTCCTGTGGCTCTTTAACTCTTTCTTTTACAGTTTGCGTGGAACCTTAGTTTCCACAGATATATGTTATAGATAAATATTAAGCAAATAATTTTCTCTTTATATATAGTACTTTGATTTTTAGTTTTGTGCTCTAGAAAACAACAGTTGCTGAATTCACAATATAGCTGAATATTTTAAAGTATTTTTATAGAGCTAATTAAGGGTGCTATTTTGATGATATCACCTAGTGAAAGAAGTTCTGTTCAATTTTATAAAATATTGTATATATTTCATGCCATAATGTTAAGATGATATAACTGATCAAGGAACCACTGCTCAATCTGTTTACTATGTGGATAAAAATATAAATTAAAGCACAATTCACAGATTTGTTTATTATTTGCTACTGCTTAATTTTTAGTTACCACAGATATGAGTTCAGAGGTTGCTATATTCTGCCTTTATAATTTTTTTGAAATATCAGTAATCAACTCAGTAGCCACATAAAATAATTTCTTCTTTTAATACTAGAAAGATTCAGAGTACGCTTTTTGCTTTAATCCCCTTTGTCATGAAAAATATGCTGTTGGAATACCTTAGATATTAGAAATCACATCTCAAGCTTCTGGCTCCAGACATTCTAAGCCTGAAAGTGTCTTAGCATTGCAGATTGCCTGATGGCCAGGGCTCCATCATAAATCAGATGCTGAGTCCAGCAAACAGAGTCAGGCTTTGCTTCTAACCGAAAGTGGTAGGTTCTTTAGAATGGAGGCTTTTCTGGAATTGGTCTGAAATTAGAATGGACCCTCCATTCTAATCCTGGATCCAAAACATGAGAGTCCTGAACCAGGACAGTTCTGATTAAATTCCAAAAACCTTCCTACATGAGGAAAAAGGGCCATTTCCATGTATATGTGAAACCAAAAACACACATGACAGCGAAACTTGCTCAGTGGTCTTAGATGAGCTTTTGGTGACTTGCTTTTATGACCTCAGTTGAGTGAACATGGACTTTAATATCAACTTTAACATAATAATAAAAAAACCCATTGCTTTTATTTATTGAATATAAGTGCATTTGTTATTAAATATTAGAGTAATAAAATTAAAATTAGTATATTGTATGCATCCTCAGATAAATGAGTAATATTTTATTTTTCTTGTCCAAATTAACCTTAGATTCAGATGTACCAGCTGTCTAGACTCCTTCATGACTATCACAGAGATCTCTACAATCATCTTGAAGAAAATGAAATCAGCCCCAGTCTTTATGCTGCCCCCTGGTTCCTCACATTGTTTGCCTCTCAATTTCCATTAGGATTTGTAGCCAGAGTTTTTGGTAAGAGATGCCTATGATCAAATAGAACAGCGTTATTCCTTCCAAGAAGTATACTTCTAGCTGATTGTTTTATCATGTGTTACTCAGAATAGCAAATTGCTAGTGGAATTTAAAAATGTGTCGGGCTCTATTATGAGAGTAATTTGAAACCATATTGGTCTTAAATAAAATTGAAATTGTGAGGGAAAGAAAAATCAGTCTCTTGTATTTGAGTAAGCTATAATGGAGCACTTATTTTCATTTATACTTAAAAATCAGGGTATACTTTTTTTTATCCAAAATAAGAATTTACTATAATAAGAACTTTTCATACATATCTTTCCTGCCTCTGGTTTTTTCTTCTCCATGGTCCTCTTCATCCTGGATCCAAAACACAGAGAGACATGTTCTCTGACTGGGTCAATGGTAGCGCCTACGTCAATGTTATTTCCAAAGGCATTTCCTAATCTGACTTTTCGTCGTTAACAGGGTAGCCCAAATTCATTGCTTAAGTGACTCTCCTTTCATGCCAGTGCAGCGGTGGTGCCAGTCTCTAAGACTGGGGGGCTCAGGGAAAAGCACTGAGCACAGGCACTAGGGCCCGGGCAAGTTATTGCAGTCCTGCCTACCTCCATCACAGCGCTAGGCACTGGGAATTAAAAAGAGAGCATGATGGTCCCTTTGGGGGCCCTTAAATCTATTCCCAAGTCTTTAGTTAGGTTTGTCTGAGTTCATTCCTTAAAAAGCAAAAACTAGAAAAAAGAAGTCATCTCTTTCCTAGAGGTTTGTTTTAATGATGTTCAGGACGCCAATGACCTCGGAATGGGCTCCCAGTTTCCGTGTTCTGCTCATCTATCTGGCATGCACAGCACAAGTCATCAATATTTATAACTGTGCTTTTGCTAAGTTGGAGCTTTTTGTCAAATTATGACTGTTGGCCCAATTGTAGTTAATTAATAGTATTAGAAATAAATTAAATCAATAGAATACAATGAAAATATCAGATAATAATAAGGAAAACTGTTGTTTGGAGAAACTTCAATTTTGAAGGTATATGTGTAATACGTCTACATATGCCAGATGACAAAATATGGTATCTTTCTTATTGTAAACTGTTGTTTAGAAAGTTAAACACCACATTAGCAGTAATACAATATATAGACAAAGAACAGTGAAAGAGTGAAGTCAAGATCCACGGAATCAAATGTTCACCAGATTTCTCTTCTTTATTGACTATACATGACTGTTTTTCTCCAGTGAAGTTTTCTCTGGAGCTTGGGTTCCTACTAATAGGTCTTCTATAAATTCATATATATTTTTCTTCTTTTTCTTAGAGAACAGTTTATCAAATCAAAATGCTGTTACGATGTTTCAGGGCATCTCTCTTTGACTTATCCTTGGAAGCTTGATTTCAGAGTTCAAGAAACAAATATCCTCAGCGGTTCATTTTTTGCTCTGAGAATATGATCGATGCTGTCAGTGCTACAATAGCTGCTCAATCCTTTTCTTTGAATTTGGTAAAGAATAGAGACTCTCAGGAAAGAGAAAGATGCATGAAAGAAAAATGACCATGTTTGAAGTAACTGTTTGCCATTTCCCTCTTTTTAAAGACTCTCTCTTGTTTATTATTGATTACAGAATGGCAGAGATTGAGAGAAACTTTCATACAAAAGTGTAATGGATTCTTTGCAAAACTAGTGCGTGTTTGTATTTGTTAGGAAGTGGAATAGGATATCCTCTGAAGCCAGGGTAGCTTTTCTTTTTCTCTCTCACTTCTGATTTAGATTACATATTGGTTTTGATTTTTCTTTTAAAGTTTTTTTTTCTTTAATTTCTTGCTCTGCTATCAGTTTAATTGCATAGTAACTGGTTCATTTACTTTTTTATTATGGTAATGTAGTTTAGATAGTACAAACTGGTTATGATGATGTGTTTTTGTATTCCCCCCGCCCCTGAAGAATTTAAATACCAGTTGAGTAAGTGTCTTTGTGGTTTACTTAGTCTCCATTAAATTTGCCACTAAAAATTATAAACACATAGATGAAGAGATATTTAATTTATCTTTTTACCCTGACCTAATATGAGATTCCTAAATAAGAAGTGTAAACATGTTTGCTTGTTTTATTTTCATATATATATGTACACACATATATATATTAATCTAGATGATTTTGACCAGCTAGTTTTCTTTTGCAAAATATTCAGTGGTTCCACTGTAGTAATTATAAACAACAACCACAACAAAAACACACAAAAAACTATTACCACAAAGAACATGCTATTTGCAATAGCGGATGCATAATTTTGACATGAAAATTCTATCTTTTTTTTAGATATAATTTTTCTTCAGGGAACCGAAGTTATATTTAAGGTTGCACTTAGCCTACTGAGCAGCCAAGAGACACTTATAATGGAATGTGAAAACTTTGAAAGTATTGTTGAATTTCTTAAAAGCTCTCTACCTGATATGAATACAACTGAAATGGAAAAAATTATCACTCAGGTATGATTTAAATGACAATAAGATACAAGATTATACAGCACTTTCCTCTACTGATTGTATATTAAATGTTTTAGTGTAAAGATATAGTTTTGCTTGACAGAGTTTGTTTTTTTTTTTGTATCAGATATATTTTATTTAGAAATAAGACTGTTGTGAAATTTCTATATTGTGATATTGCCTATGTGGCTATGCACAGGAAAAGTGGTTCAGTGCTACATAATGAGTTTTTAAAGAATCTTTAAATTTAAACCAATGGTAAAACTGGAGATAGAACTGACAGAGTTAGAAATACCTAATAAGTGAAAAAAAAACAAGAGAGAGAGAGCCACTTACCTTTGTAATATTGTTCATTCTGTTTAAAAATATATGAGGAGTACATGTGGCCAGAGCATAGGCTTTGGAATTAGACAGTATTGGGTTTGCATCATCTAGCTCTTTATTATTTTTTTGGCTTGCACATCTCAGCCTAATGTCCTAACCCTAGTATTCTCACTTTCAAAATGGGACAGTACTGATGTGAAGGGTTTTGTGAGGCTTAAATGAGGAGACTTGTATCAATCAGGGTCCCTTGCAGGAAACAGAGTCTACCTTCCATGATTCAAATGCAGACGAATTTACAGAAGTGTGGACAGGGTTAACGGAACCAAACATGCATGTCCAAATGCCCAAAAACTAGTAACAGAGAGAAGCTGTTCGTCACCATGGTGCTGAGGGGACAAGGGAGGATATAATGGCGTTACCAGGCCCAGCGAGTGCAGGGACCGTGGAGGCGGGATCTCTGGAGATTGTTGGTGAGCCAGGCAGTGAAGGCACAAGGAATACACACCCAGCCCATTTCTCCTCTGACCTGCTGGCCCCATCTACTGGCCATACCCAGCCAGAAGCCAGCAGGAAAGGAAGTGAGGGGAAGTGCAGGGAACCCAGGTCTGCCTCTCAGGGTCCAGCAGAATAGACGAAGACCGAGAAGCAAATGAAAAGTAATCGGTGCACCATTTATCCAGTCTCTGCTCTTCATAGGGACCAGGTAAGTGGTAGTTATATACTGATGTAGTTCAGATGACATGAGCAAGCTTAAGACCAGATTTGTAAATGAAGCTGTCATCCTTTATGAGTATTGGTAAAGTTTGCCAGTTTCATAGAGGCACTTGGGCAGAAAAAGGAGAGTTTAGAGCAAGAAAAAGGGAGTTTGAGATCTCGTTCTGGTGCCCTGCTACCCCACACCTGTGTGACAGTGGGCAGGTTATAACCTCGCTGAGTCTTAACATCCTGCCTTACAAAATGAGAGTAACAATAATGATCTCAGTACTTTTTCACATTTATAGGAGCAAGTGTAACCAATTAGGTTGCAGAATTTCATACTGTAATCCACACTATACCATGAATTTATTATATTATTACATGTACAATTTTCTTTCCATTACGTGGAATCTAATTCACAAGAGGATTATTCTGCAAATATCTATGAACGTCTTTTATTTGTAAAAAGCTCTACAATCTGAAAAGCATAGCTTTTGTGTACATATTTACTTATTATGTATTAATTCTTCAGATGACCTTTTGAGACTAGCAAAGCAGTCAGAGATTGTGCTTTTAGAGAAAGGTGATCTCTGATTTGAAATCAGATCACCTCTCTCCTAAAATTAATGAGGGAATTGCTTGGTTTTGGAGATTATTCTTAGGGGTTAGTAGATGGAATTTATAGGCAGGTTAGATTTGGACTCGATGTTATAGAGATTTTTCTAACAATTAGAGTTGATTAGTTGTGGAATGAATTGCTGATATTAAAGGAGACTTTGACAAGGTTTATTTATGGTCACTGTAAAAATGCAAATAATGCAGAAAAGCACAAAGAAGAAAATAAAAGTAACTACAAATCTCAACACCTTGAGGTATAAAACCTTTTAAACGTCCTTTTACACATCTCTCTTTGCTTACATACACATACAAATATAGGTGTAGTTTTATGTAAATGAAAACATACTATACATGCTATTGTGTAACTTGGATTTTTAAGATATGTAGTATTGAACATTTTTCACGCTGATAAATATAGATCCAAGCCATCGTTTTTAATTGTTTAGAAGTCCATTGTGTCCATACTCACTAGCAGGGAAAAAGTGATGCTTGTTTGAGAGGGATAACCAGGTTGTCTAGAAATCACACTTAAATTCTAAGATTTGAGTATCTCTAGCGATAGTAGGATAAGTTAGTCAGATTCTCTGTGGTTTCTTTTCACAGTTTAGTGTAGACACCGTTGCTTAAATGGCAGCTACTGTCTTACCTTCCTTCTCAAATTTAGACTAAGGAGGGCTTACTTGCCCTTTAACTGCTAGGCAACCTGTCTTCCTATTTGGTAGTGATATGGGAGGCAGAGGCAGCCCCAACTAACCCCTACAGCTCTGTACAGTGCTTAAGATGTGCAGTTGTGAAGAGTCTCTGTGTGATAGAATATGTGAGGGACTCCTAAGAGGCTCACATGGATTAGCAAATGGATGAAAATATTTAGTGTAAGACCTTGTTGCCCCATTTACAAATCATTAGAAAAGCTTTGGGTCTCATTATTATAGAAATAGCCAATGCAATTTTGCTTACTAATCAGCAAAGATGATCTCTAACATAGATAAGAGTTACTCAGTGACTGATGCTATTTATCTGGTATGCTACATTCTGGGAGATAGTTACTAGATTATGTATATTTGGGTTGCCATATACCTTTGAACATTGACTTTTGCTAGTATCTTGGCCTTATTATGAGACTGTTTCAGATGTGTAGAAAGAGTCATTTGTCCTTATATTGCCAGTCACTCTGGTTAGTCTTCCTTTCGGTGTGTCATACCATTCCTAATAAGTATTTGGAAATCTCTATGAAGTACACCAAATACACAGACTGTATCTTGGCATACGTACTGAAGGTCAGACTAACCCACGGTGTTTTTCATGGCAGGTTTTTGAGATGGATATTTCTAAACAGTTACACGCTTATGAGGTGGAATATCACGTCCTGCAGGATGAGCTTCACGAATCTTCGTATGCCTTTGAGGACAGCGAACCTGTGGAGAAGCTGGAGAGGGCCAATAACCAACTCAAAAGACAGAACATGGACCTCCTAGAAAAACTGCAGGTCAAGAGACAAAGATGTGACCACATGGCAATTCAAAGCAGAACCTGGTTAAATGCCTATTGGGTGTTGCAAATATTTGGTTAAATTCAAGGGAGGAGGGGTTGCATATAGGACATTGGGACCGGCCTGGGGCATGGTGGGAGAAATGAATGAGGTGGAGGGTGCCGTAAATGCGGAGGAAGTGGCAGAGCAGCAGAGTAAGCTTGGTGTCCATTTAACATTTATGTCGGGGAGAGATGGGATAAATATGATGGAGGCAGAGTTGGAAATAACCTTCAGTGTGAAGCAGAAGAGCATGGCTTTAATCTTGTTGAGAGGAGAAATCTCTCCAAGTTTTGAGCCATACTTTAGAAAGAAAGCCCAATTTTGAAACTTCACTGAGAACAGATTAGAGTGGGGAGAGAAGGTAGGGAGGCCAGCAAGAAATCATTTGCATAAATCTGATTGAGGATGATGAAGATTGTCTATTGTTAAACTCACATAAATGGAAAGGAGATAGGTTTGAAAGAATTGAATAAAAACATGTAATACATAATCTGTGCCATCAAGAAGTTTACAATTACTAGGGAATATAAAATACTATATATTTATTTATAAATAAATACACACTTACAAATGTAATAAGCAGTTTAGCAGAAGTTGATATTCTGCATCTGCAAGTTGTATAATGTGTGCTGAGTATTCAAGCCATGAGGGGCGGGGCTTAGGAATGTTGGGGGAGGTTAGAAGGTAGACCTTCTGGAAGGGCTGGGAAGATGAGTTCCAAGTTAGAGCTTAAGTGCCTAATGGCTCCGTGGTTTCTGCTTATCCCCCACTTCCCCACACTGCACCTGTTTTCAAGCTAGAGAACACTACAGACTGCTTCTGTGTAGTGAGTACTCTGGACCAGCTAGGAGAGAAATAGCTCAGAAATGAGGGAGCTCTAGAGTAATTGCTCCCCAAGAATAAGAACACTAACCTCCTTTGATTCATCCAACATTAGCTCTGGCCCATAGAAAATGTTGTGCTTTTTCCTAAAGACCAGTGTCTATTTTCAAAAAGATAAAATAGTTGGGGTATTCGTTATTACATGAATATTTCAATGGTGATTAATTGAGCACTTCCTTACTAGGGAAGTGGGTTTTTACCTGCTTTACATAATGATTTTTATTAATGGTGACAAACATTTTTATTGACAGTTCAGTGTTGTCATCACGTCTGGGTTCCCAGGTTACGTGGGCACCTCTGACACCTGTCAAAACAGAGGATCCAAGTATGTATTTAGAAAACCCTCCATTTCCAGTCAGAGAGTAAAAAGTCTCTTTTAGCACTTCAAGGCAGTGTGAGGAATCTCTTGTTTCCTCATGTCGGGCCCCACTCACTCCAGAGGAGCCCCAGCGTGTGAAGGGAGGGCCCTGACCCCTTTGGCATCATGACTTAATATTGCATTTTTGCTAATATTTGGTGGAATGAGATGTATTTTGTTAGAACCATCGCTATATTTTAGAGAAACCTATAAATCTCCATTTCATGAAAGGTTTCAGAGTATTTGCTTCCCATATTATTTGATGAAGTCATATGGTATGCTTGGTTAGTATCTGTACAGTCTGGCTGCTGCTGGAATGAAGAACCAGAGTCTTCAAATTTTTGATTTGGAGGATTTTGTGTTCTTTCCCCCAAACAGATAGCTCATGCTAAAATCCAGACCTTGGAATCCAATCTGGAAAATCTTTTGACCAGAGAGACCAAAATGAAGTCTTTAATCCGGACCCTGGAACAGGAGAAAATGGCTTATCAAAAGACAGTGGAGCAGATCCGGAAGCTACTGCCCGCCGATGCTCTTGCCAATTGTGAATCACTGCTCAGAGACCTGAACAGCAACCCTAACAACAAAGCCAAGACAGGAAACAAGCCATAACTGTAGCGTCTGCTGAGACCATGCTCTGAAAATGATTCAGGAAGGAAGAGTCTGCATGCCGCTGGCCCCCAGTGCTGGACACTGGCACCATGGAACTGCCTGTCTGGTGCCGAGCCCTCGTCCAAGCCAGTGGGCCTCGCTCTCATTAGAGTTTGCCAATCTTAAGCCATTGTAGGCTGGTTTTTGTTGGTGGTGGTCACTATGTACATATATACATAAATGGACACAAACAGTTCATGCTTTCAGATTACAAGGGGTAGATGTATATTTAGAGCAGTTTTTTAAATCAAAACTTCATTAAATCCACACCAAAGGGAAGTGAAAGTGAAATTCCCCTTGGACACCTGTGAAATCATTTTTTTCTTTGACGCCTGTGAAATCATTTTTTTCTTTGTAGTGAAACAAAGCTAGCACATCTTTGTATATTGAAATACACTTGAAAAAAATGAATGTATTTTTTTCTCCAAAGAATAGGATGTTTCACTTGATGGTGGAGAGGTGGAAATATTTGTGTAAATTTATGTGTATCTGTCTTAAAATGTACTGATATTGTATATAACAGGAAAATGACTGATTGCCAGTCAGGCTCCTATGATTTTTTTTCAGGATAATGGGAGCCTTCCTCCGCTGCCTGCTTTGTGCCAACTAGCATGATGTGTCTACATGCACTTTGAGTCTGGTTAGGCATTACTTTCGACATGCCTAAGAAAAAAGCAAGACGTTGTGGCTGAGTCTACCCACCCAGTCCAAGGTGAAACAGTACATTGCTAATTTTCTAGGTAATTAGACCTGCATTATAACTCAAACTAAATATATCAGGTCTCAAAACTTTAATTTAGCACCTAAAATGTCTAGATCGGCTTTCCCCCATTTTATTTAAATTACTCCTACAGTACTTAACAGACTCCCCTTTACTTGGTACCACAGTTGATGACAAGAATTTGCCATTTTCTCACCAATATGTGGGAGCTCTTACTTTAGTTCTCTTTATGTTCAATGAAAGATAAAGAAGTATAATTATAATTGGTTTTCTAAAGATGATATAATGTGTTCAGATTCTTTTTTTTTTTTTTTGGCCAGTTGTTAGAATCTGATATGCTCATGATAATCTTCCCCTTACATGTGAAAATTTATGAGAACTGTGAAATGTTTAAAACAATCTGTTGAAATCAATTAGAAGGGAGGGGGAAAGTGGCGCCAAGCCCTTCGAAAACCTACAATTCTGCATTTTGACTCCCAACTCTCTCAGCCACAGACAACTTATTAGAAGACATTCTCGCATACTGCATGTGTGGAAGGAAAGTAATTTTCAAAGTACACATTCGATTCTCCATTTCCGAGATGATTCTATGATAGTGCCTCTGAAAGTTGGTGCAGCATTTTTGCCTTTCCGTACAATGTTTATCATTACTGCTTTTTGCAGTACTTATGTCATCACAGATGGATCATCTGGGATACTCTTCTTCAAAGGGAGTTTGTTATACACAAGCTACAGCGTATTATAGAGTAGAAGAGTACAGCTCTAAAGGCTTCGGAGAGTTGTAGTGAGCAGATGATGAGCACCTGAAACCCTCCTGCACAGCCATACTCAGTGTAAATGTAATCACTCTTGTTATAAATCAGCATGCCCTCTAATCCAGGCAGTTTCTTAAAAGAAAATAAAGTCTTATTAGTAAAATTAGTGTAATTTCTAGGTTGTAGAAAATGCTGATTTTAAGTACCCCATTCACTTGGGGCCGCCGACTGATTCACTGCTTGGATTTCCCTTCAATTTTTCTATTCGTAGGAGAAGTTTTTCCTATGAGGGATATGATGAATATCACCTGGTGTTTGTTTTCATCAGGTGATGGAAACTACATGATGTGTGTGATACACAGGTGGTAGCCAAGGAATCTTCAAGTTGGGAAAATAAACTTTTCCTTTCAGTTATTCAGTTTAAAGTAAATTTTATTCTGGATCTTCAAAGTCAACATTATGAGTTGTATTATGGTGTTCAGAGATTGAGGTGTCTTGGATACAGTATTTCTTTTGAGAATGAATTTCCTTTTTCTTTTGTGATTTTTTAAATGTTGTATCAGTTATGCTTCCTGCATTGTTACATCTTCATCCAATATATGTAATGTCTAGTTCATTTCCAATAAATACATTGCTACAGTCTCCTTGGCTTACTGGTTTTACTTTTGTTTATAATAGGAGAGAAAAAGCTCTTGGTTAGAGTCTTTTACAAAATCTTCATGGGTTGGATTATTGCTACTTAAAATCGGTTCCCTGGTAATCCTTTTTAATAAAATCAGAGACAAGGAAGATAATTTTTAGAAACATTTATGAAACTGCATTATTGGTTACCAGGTTTTCAATTTTTTTTCCCACTGGAGCTTTTGGCTGATGAATGTGAAAAAAAAGACGACACTGACAGATTTGCATTCTACCCCTTTGGTTTCCTGTGTGCCCCCTCACAGATAGCAAGGGAGAGTTCGACAATAAGAAAACACATTTTTAAATTGGGTTAGCTCCTGAATAAGAATTTAGTCACTTATGGTGCATATGATGTGAATACATTTACATAAAATACATATCTTAAAAATATTCTCAAGTGTGTTTGGAATCCAATAAAAGATATTGTATCTTCTTGCTAACTTTAGGACTAAACATTTAAATATTTTACAGTACATGAAGTAAACATTTTGAGTGTCAGCGTAGGCTTATGTAGTATAGTCTTTTAATATCCATCTTGACTTACCCATTTTATCACCATTTCATCTTTTTTTTTTTTTTTTTTTTTTTTTTTTTTTTTTTGCACTGTGCCAGATTACAAATAGGAAATCTGTCAACTGATGTATTTAGTACTCTACCACAATGTGTCACTCTTACCAGCTGTGATATATTGAGAAAAGCACTGGATTTAAGGTGGAAACTTTTAGATCTGAGTTTTGGTTCCACCACTCTTATTTATTCATTCAACAAACAAGTCTGTCATGATTCCAGATGTTTACGTGTGACAAAAAACAAAGACAAAAACAAAATCTGTGATTTGACTGAATTTAAATCTATTTAGGATATTTAAGGCCATGAAAGGTGTACAGTAGACAATAAGTCTTTACTTTGAGAAACAATGTGGAGAAAGAAAGGACTAACATTAGAATAAGGGGTTTCTGAGATTATGTCTGTTCTTAGCATTGTACTATATTGACGGCAGGATGACTTGGTGAGTGGGTGGAGAGAATCTCAATATTTTGGAGCACTGGTGTTTGATAAAGTAATGAAGCAGTATCAATAAAAAATAATAAGCCATTTTCCCTTGACAGAATTCTCTAGACTATCTAGGAAATGAGCTTTCTTTGTATTGGGTGAATAAAAATTAAAAAATGACTTACTGTGACTAACTTCTGTGTTAACATCATTTAAATGAAAGTCACTTCAAAACATTTTGTAGATGTATTTGGTTCTCTGATACCTAGTTTCTCTTCAACTCAGAGTTGCATTATCTCTTTTGATTTAGGGAAATTTTAATTATTACATAAACACATGCATTATGCAATCTGGAACTCAAATTGGGAAACAGTACCTCATTTTGTATTAATAATTTCATTGTCAGGATTTTGAATAGGAAGAATAATCAATTAGTGGATGATTTGAAGAACATAGACTAATCTCAGGCATGTCTGAAAATTTGCATCATTTAATTCAATTCAATTCATACAATATTTACTGAACATTTACTGTGTACGCTGTACCCTGGGAGAGAGACACAGATAAATATCTCTATTTCAGTTCCACAAGTTTCATAATAAGATGTTTGAAGCTTTATTTGTCCATAAGTGAGGAAGCAGTTGTGTCCAGGAGGGTTGGCAGGAAAGCAATGGAAACTTTTAAGTGAGCCTTGAAGTGTCAGAAGCAGATCGACAGGAAGACAAGTGTGTGTGTGGCGGGGGGAGGGTCGGGAGCGGGAGAATGGGGGGAACAGAGACTATTAACCAGACTTTAAAATCTTTGATGAACTATTCCTCAAAACACTCCCTCCGTGGTGACTAATTCAGTCTATAGTAGCTTGCCTGACTAACAACAAAACAGGAGTTTGGGATCTACAGTGAGGAAGACTACCTAAGGCAATGGAATGTTTCCCAGAAGATCTTGTCTGAGAGAGATCACCTAAAAGGGACTAGTGAGTTCCTAACTCTCAGGCCGCGAACTGGTACCCAGTCCATGGCCTGTTAGGGACTGAGTCGCAGAGCAGGAGGTGAGTGACAGGCAAGCGAAGCTTCATCTGTGTTTGCAGCTGCTCCCCAGCGCTAGCATCACCACCTCAGTTCTATCTCAGACCATCAGGCATTAGATTCTCATAGGAGTCCCTGGTGCCAAAAAGGTTGGGGACTGCTGGACTAGGGGGGTGGCAGCCAAAAGTGCCCAAACCGTCATTTTTGCTTTCCGATGACTACTCATCAGCAACGACCCTTTATCTCAGTAAAAGAGACTTGTACTTCGCTTCAAATCTGGGAAATGCAAGACATACATTAGGAGTGTGGCTTTTAAGAATTTAATTAAAGCATTCCAGCTCTGTTGGGTGTAGCCTTTAAACTCTGACTCTTGAAGTAAAAATCTACCAGTTTCCTCTGGAGAATTTAGTGAGAAGTTGGCCTTATAATGTTGGGCTTGTTTTTCCCTTAAGTGTATGTAGCTGATTCATGAATTGGAACATATAATCATGAAACAGGTTTGGATCTAGGTCTAAAAAATATTAATTAGTTTTAACATTTAAAGTGCATAGAAATTTATTCAATCATGGATTGGTATATTGAATGTTATTACTGAACATTCCACTAGGTGGCACTACTGTTTCAATTTATTTCCATCGGTTTTTGCTTTCTTTGGAATGTACTTCATGGGACAGCAAACTACTTGAAGAAACTGTATAGTTCACCATTCTGCTTCCAGGTAAAATATCTCCAATATAGGAAAATCTAGCTTATTTAGAAATGCCTTCGGGGAAACTACTTAAGTCTCCCTTTGTAACATCCCCAAAACTTAATTCTCTTTATTGTCAAGAAACTGTTTTATATCAAACTTATTTGATTTAACTTATTTTAATACTGCTGTTTAAACACATTTCTTCTTCCTCTGTTCTCCATGGAGATGAAGAAAAACAGATCATCTTATATATAAAAGCCTTTCATATATAGAAGACCAATATAAAATTGCTTTTCATCTTTTTTCCTTAAGGCAAAAATAATATAATTTCTTTTTAAGTTTTCGTCACATTTCTTCACCATTTATTCTGCCTAACTTTTGACTAGCTCTGAAGTCCAAGTGGAATGAAAAATACCCCAAGACTTTGGATTTCTGTTCATGGCAGCTTCATTTGTTAGTTTCCCAAAGTTTCAGCAATGTGAGCTAACAATAGTTTCTTGGGGTCTCAGACAAACACAGAGAATAAAGTAACACTGGTTTAAGTCACCGCGCTTCATTCTAAAGTTGATAATAGAGACTAGAGTAGACAGGTGTTCATCAGCTCTGAGTTGTCCTGGCCAAACCATCTCAGAGTACGTCATGCTCTTTCTCACTTCCGGACCTCATTATTCCCTCTACCAGGGGTGACTGCAACATCTCCACCTGTGCTCCTTCCTCTTGCCTAGCTCTACACATCTTCAGTCTTGGGTTAGACATTTCCTCGGGAGGCACTCCCTGAGTCCACCAGCATCTGCTGCCTGTAGACCATGTCATGTATCCTGGAATAGTCTCCTTTAACAACTTGCATTTCTCTTTTGTAGAATTTTGCACACGTGTAGCAATTTAATTATTTTTGAGCACCTGTTTAATGCCTGTTCTTTTTCCCAATTAGACTCTATTAGTTAGGGATAAGAACGTTTTGTTTTGTTTTTCTCCATGTAGCCCCAGCACTTTACTGTGGATACGGTAGGCACATGGTGGGAACTCAGCAGGTCTATTTTGACTAATGGACTAATTTCTGATTTTGCATTCTTTCCTTCTCCAGAAATATAATGATTATTAGTAGGGTAATTATCAGGAATCAGAAGGTAGTCAGGAGCATGGCTTATTCAAAAATCTTAAAAAAAAAAAAAGTCAGGGACATAGATAGGGAGGGAGAGAATGACACGTACCAGTTTGACAAGGAAGGAAAAACCAGATTTTAGAGTCTGTACTATAGGCAGTTAAAACAATTGATATTTTTTCCCCTCTGGCTTTATTGAAATATAATAAACAGTTGCTCATATTTACATTGTATCATTCAATAAGTTTTTAAAAAATTATAGTTGGCATATAATAATATGTTAGTTTCAGTTGTACAGCACAGTGACCAGAGATTCACGTAGCTCACCAAGTGATCACCCTACTAAATCGAGTTCCCCTCTTCCCACTTATATTTATTATAACATCGTTGACTATTTTCCTTACGCTGCACTTTATATCTCCATGACTATGTCGTAACTATCCATTTGTACTTCTTAATCCCTTTGCCCTTTTTCACCATCCCCTTCAAACCCTCAAAATATTGTCTGTATCTGAGTTTGCTTCCGTTTTTGTTCTATTTTTCTTTAGATTCCACGTGTACGTGAAATCATGTGGTATTTGTCTTTATCTGACTTACTTCGGTCAGCACAATGCCCTCTAGGTCCATCAAGGCAGTATCTTTTTCCATCCCCTTCCTTTTGGTCTGTGTGTGTCTTTTAATCTGAAGTGAGTCTCTTGTAGGCAGCACATGTAGGGGTCTTATTTTCTTATGCTTTCAGCCAGCCTGTGTTTTCAATTGGAGCACTTAATTCTTTTCCATTTCAGGTACTTGTTCATAGGAATATAGTTATTACCATTTTTTATTCATGTTTTTGGTACTTTGTTTTCCTTCTTCTGAAAAAGTCCTTCCAACATTTCCTATAATACTGGCTTGGTGTTGATGAATTCCTTTAGCTTTTTTTGGTCTGGGAAGCTCTTTATCTGTCCTTTGAATCTAAACGATAGCTTCGCTGGATAAAGTACTCTTGGTTATAGATTCTGGGTTTTCATCACTTTGAATATATTGTGCCAAGCCCTTCTGTCCTGCAAAGTTTCTTTTGAGAAATCGACTGCTAGTCTTATGGGTGCTCCCTTGTAGGTAACTAACTGCTTTTCTCTTGATGCTTTTAAGATCCTTTCTTTGGATTTAC